GATTACAGGCGCTTGCCACCATGCCTGGCTAATTTTTGTATTTTTAGTAGAAATGGGGTTTCATATTGGTCAGGCTGGTCTCAAACTCCTGACCTCGTGATCCACCCACCTCAGCCTCCCAAACTGCTGGGATTACAGGCGTGAGCCATCATGCCCAGCCTTTATGTCTAATGATTTTAAACATAATTTTCTATTCTCTTTCTGGTTATGATACCATTATTGCAAATTCTGAACTTTAATTTTCCTGTTAGTTGTATGTGTTAACTCTTGTTCATGGTGGATTACTTCTTTACATTTTCTAATTTTTACTGTAAGCTCACCACTAACAGGGCTTGTTTAGCTGTTAGTGGTGTTGCTGTTAGTGTTAGGGAATAATGAAGAATTGTTGCCTCACTGTCTCTAACAAAACAGCCTGTGACAAGAAACAGAAAGTAGAAGGTGGTTACCAGGGTCTGGGGAAGGAAGATGAGAGTCGTTTAATGAGTACACGATTTCAGTTTTGCAAGATGAAAAGTTCTGGAGACTGGTTGCACAACAATGTGAATACAGTTACCACTACTGAACTGTACACTTAAAAATGATTAAGGAGGAGGCCAGGCGCGGTGGCTCCCACCTGTAATCCCAGCACTTTGGGAGGTTGAAGTGGGTGAATCACCTGAGGTCGGGAGTTTGAGACCAGCTTGACTAACATGGAGAAACCCTGTCTCTGCTAAAAATACAAAATTAGCCAGGCGTGGTGGTGCATGCTTGTAATCCCAGCTACTCGGGAGGCTGACGCAGGAAAATTGCTTGAACCCGGAAAGTAGAGGTTGTGGTGAACTGAGATCACACCATTGCACTCCAGCCTGGGCAACAAGAGCGAAACTCCATCTCAAAAAAAAAAAAAAAAAAAAGATTAAGGAGGCAAGACACGGTGGCTCATGCCTTTAATCCCAGCACTTTGGGAAGCCGAGGCAGGTGGATCATCTGATGTCAGGAGTTTGAGACCAGTCTAGCCAACATGGCAAAACCCTATCTCTACTAAATATACAAAACTTAGCTGGGCATGGTGGCAGGCGCCTGTAATCCAAACTACTTGGGAGGCTGAAGCAGAAGAATTGCTTGAGCCCAGGAGGCAGAGGCTGCAGTGAGCCAAATCACACCACTGCAGTCCAGCCTGGGAGACAGAGCAAGACTCTGTCTCAAAAAAAAAAAAAAAAAAAAATGTTAAGGAAGCCGAGTGCAGTGGCTCATGCCTGTAATCCCAGCACTTTGGGAGGCTGAAGTGGGAGGATCACTTGAGCTCAGGAGTTCAAGACCAGCCTGGGCAACATGGTGAAACCCATCTCTACAAAAAAATACACAAGTTAGCCAGGCATGGTGGCTGGCTATTATATGTATGTCGTCCACATACATATAAGCACATACTGAAAATTCCTTAATTAACTATCATACATCTACTATTAATGGCCCCTAAAACAGAAGAAACACCTGCCAAGTGGAATGAGATGATGGTTAGATCTACAGAGTCTCCTGCATGTGTTAGGTTTCCTGCTAAAAGGGGATCAACTGTTCAGCCAGTTCCAGCACTGGCTTCTACTGTTGAGGATGCAAGTAAGAGTAGGAAAGAGATGCGGAGAAGTCAGAAGCTCGTATTATTTATTTATTTATTTTTTATTTTTATTATTATTATTATTTTTTGAGACGGAGTCTCGCTCTGTCGCCCAGGCTGGTGTGCAGTGGCCGGATCTCAGCTCACTGCAATCTCCGCCTCCTGGGTTCACGCCATTCTCCTGCCTCGGCCTCCCTAGTAGCTGGGACTACAGGCACTCGCCAGCACGCCCGGCTAATTTTTTATATTTTTAGTAGAGACGGGCTTTCACCATGTTACCCAGGATGGTCTTGGTCTCCTGACCTCGTGATCCGCCCATCTCGGCCTCCCAAAGTGCTGGGATTACAGGCGTGAGCCACCGTGCCCGGCCTACTCTACAGCCTTTTTAGGGTTTGCTCAAGATGGCGGTATACAGACTGGGGGCAAGAAGTGGTGAGGTGTATCAGGGTTTATCCATTATAGAACAGGCTCCTCTAGAGGGATATAAAGCACCACCAAGTCCTTTGAGTTTTAAGCTGTTGCTTGTAGTATTCTGGCGAATGGTTTTGTTAATGTAACTATTAGAGTTTAGGGCTAAGCATAGTGGGATATCTAATCCCAGCATGGGTCTTAGCTATTGTATCTTCAGGGTATTAAAGCCACTTTCCTAGTATATTTTATTTCAGCTGGAGTTTTTTACAACTTAGATGGAGTTTAGCTTTATTGAGGCCAGACCTTAAACACTCTTTTCGCAGAGTTCTATTAACTTGGGTTAATCGTATGGCCACGGTGGCTGGCATGAAATTGACCAACCCTAGATATCAGCATAAACTTTCACTTATTAGTAATGATTTATCATTGCTGTTTCCCATGGGAGTGTGGTTGAGCAAAGTGTTTTGAGCTCCATTTATGCGTGCTTGATACCTGCTTCTTTTGTTCTGGGTGATCTAGAAGGCATTTTCACTGGGGCGTGGGTGCTTGCATGTGTAATCTTACTAAAAGCTAATAGAAAGGCCAGGACCAAACCTATGTGTTTATGGGGTTGTGCAGGCCCATCTAGACATTTTCAGTATCTTGCTTGGAATAATTAAGCTACATTAACTGCATAAATACTTATGTAAAATTAAAATATGAGAAGGAAAGAAGTAAGTATAAATAGTCGTTTACAGTTCTGGGAATTCAGGGTCTTTAAAGTTGAGTTAGCAGAGGTTTGGCTGAGAGGACCACTCATAATTCGGACATAATTGATTTAGGGTATGGTGTATGGGGTAGCACTTTCAGAGGGGTACGCTCGAGGTATTATATCAGTATTAGGGTGGAAATTTAGTTATTGTATTTGTTATATAAAATGGAGGCTTAATTTAGTAGGAGGGTCTTAAGATTTTTAGGAAAATGACATCCATCGAGGGGTGGCTGTTGGGGTATTCATGGTTAAAATATGATTTCTGGGCTCTGACTGGGTTGCATTTTAGTCTCTTGTTTTTGCGGATTTAATGGAAATCGTTCTTGAAAGTGAGTGGACATGCATGAGCATACATGCCTATTGATTAATTGTTATGTCTTTCAAGCATGAATTAATTGATACCTTATGGTTATTATACCAGCCTGGAATATTCAATATAAGCTCAGCTTCTACAATTGATTTAGCAGGAATCAAATCCAAGTTCATCTATGGCGGATTCGGAGGGGACTAGGCCTTACGCAATGGTGAGTGACAGCATCCCCCAAAGTTAAAAATACCAAATGCATGACAGCGCTCCCGTGACTGGTTAATAGGGTGGTAATCATTAGTCCATCGAGATGTCTTATTTAAGGGGAACATGTGGGCGATCTTAGTTTTATGGCCCTGAAGTAAGAACCAGATGCCAGGTATAGTTTCAGGACAGTCGCCCCCAAGTGTTATGGGCCTGGAATGAGGAGGGTAGCGCTCCCAAGCGGGATGATGATTTCTCGGAGGCTGGTAGATTAAGAGACCAAAACCTGGCAGGGATATCCATGTTGACAAGGGATTTCTTGACTGAAATATGCCATGTCCAATGAACGAATATATGCACTATGCAATATTAAGAAAGAAATTTCTTAATAGAAAGTACGGATCAATATTCATATGGATTAGGTTTTGTTGTATAGCCAATAATAGTATATATAGCATATATATGTGTACATATACATATATATACACACACACACACAAAAATGGCCCATAATTCTACTGCTGAGATGGCCTCAGTTGATCTTTTAAAAACAAAACAAACAAGAAACAAACAAAACAAAGGGGATATCTGCACTGGGTTGGGACATTAAAAAAGCATCAAAAGGCAAACAGGCATTACTGCTACAGTTGCTCAGGCCAGAAACTCTGCAGTGTGTGACCCTTCTCCTTCACTGTCTTGCATTCCACAACCAAACCCTGATCATAACCTGTCGATTCTGCCTCTACACATAACTGATCCACCCCCTTCTCTCCTCCCCCACCAGCAGCCTCCTGCTTGTTCCCCTGGACGATTCCCACAGCCTCCTTCTGCCCTCCCAACTCCCACCCACACCTGTGCCCCTCTAAGCCCACTTCTACGTGGCACCAAGAATGGCTGTTTCCTTCTGGAGCCCACAGGCCCTGCATGCTGCCTCCAGCCTCCCTTTACCCTCCTCACTAACCCTTCACCTCTTCCACACCAGGTGCTTGGACCCATTGCAGAGCCTTGGCCCAGGCTGAGCCGTTGGCTCCTGCACACAGACTCCCAAGCTGGCTCCTCTCATCCTTCAAGTCTCAGCTTAAACAGCAATGAAGAAAGACTGTTCCTGACTACCCAAGCCAAAAAGGTGTCATCTCGGTTTTCATGCATCTCAGTTCTACTTTTGCTTTGTTTTTGTTTTTGTTTTCAGATGGAGTTTCACTTTTGTCACCCAGGCTGGAGGGCAGTGGCGCACTCTCAGCTCACTGCAACCTCCACTTCCCAGGTTCAAGCAGTTCTCCTGCCGAGACTCCTGAGTAGCTGGGATTACAGGCGCGCACCACCACACCCAGCTAATTTTTGTATTTTTAATAGAGACAGGGTTTCACCATGTTGGTCCAGCTGGTCTTGAACTCCTGACCTCAGGTGATCTGCCCTCCTCAGCCTCCCAAAGTGCTGGGATTACAGTCATGAGCCACCGCACCTGGCCCTGCTTTTGCTTTTAAATGTTACCTATCGCATACATTTACGACGCTCTCACTCATCCGTGTACTTGCTTCGTCTCTGTCTCCCTATTGGGCCATGAGCCACAGAGGGCAGGAGCTGACCCCATCTCACACCCCACTGCATCCTAGCACCAACTCCACGTCGCGTGAACATATGTGCCAGGCGTCGTGGTGAGTGTTGCATATGCATTCTCATTCAGTCTTCACCTGCAAAGTAGGTTGTTTTTTTATCCCCCCACCCCCCATTTTGTATATGAGGAAACTAAAGCTTGGAAAAGTTAAGTAACAAGCCCAGGTCACACAGTTGGGGAACGACATGGCCAGGACAGTTCCGTGTGTCTGGCCCCCGTCTATGCTGTCCCCACTGCACTGTCCTCTCTCGCTTGTGCTGCCTGGTTCCTCCCTTCCCATGGTGCACATCTGCTGAGTGAACGCAATGACAGTGGCGCAGCAGGTTTAAGCAGAGAAGGTGCTAGGTCTCGTCCCAAGTCTCACCCGAGTTCTTACCATGTAGGCCACCAATGCCAGCTCATAGATGATGCCCTGGGTGCCGAGCTTCATCACGTCAATCAGTCCTGAAATGTCAGCACACACAAAACACATTTCAAAAAGTATATAAACATTTTCCTTATGAAACTAGAACTTATTTTAAGAGAACCCAAGAATGCCCTCAAGAAGCATAACCTGGTGGCAGAATTCACCACGTGTGCTGAGAAGCCCAGACATCCTGCCGTGAGCAGTTGCCATGACCATGATCTCAGGCAGCTCAGATGTAACACAGGCTCATTCTACAAATCCCTACTCCACTAGGGAACAAAACATTAGGTTCAAAGTAGAAAAAAGAATGGCCAGGTGCAGTGGCTCACACCTGTCATCCCAGTACTTTGGGAGGCTGAGGTGGCAGGATCACCTGAGCCCAGGAGTTTGAGACCAGCCTGAGCAACATAGTGAGAACCCCATCTCTACAAAAAAAAAAAAAAAATCCCAAAAAATTAGCTGGGCATGGTGGCACACTCCTGTAGTCCCAGCTACTCAGGAGGCTGAGGCCGGAGGATCACTTGAGCCCAGAAGGTCAAGGCTGTAGTGAGCCCTGATGGCACCACTGCACTCCAGCTTGGGTGACAGACTGAGACCCTACCCCCACCCCCAAAAAAGCAAAAGAAAGTGAGGCTGTTAGAGTTGCAAGTCACTCCCTAGAGAGACCTGGGGTCACATGGTGGGAGGGGAGGCGGAGGCTGCAGAACTCTACAGATAGCTGATGGGACTGTTGATGTGTGCGAGTGTCCATAGAAATGGCAACGTCGTCACTGTCACCCTCTGCATCGACTGTTTGTTACTATACTAATAACGAAATGGCTAAGGTAAACATCTACGGCAAAAACGATTACAGTTCCAACAGAAACACAGGCCGTGGCTAAAACAGGGCTGAATCAGTCGCCGTGTGTACATACAACTCTTAGAAATTTGGCTTGGGCTGGTGCGGCGGCTCATGCCTGTAATCCCAGCACTTTGGGAGGCCAAGGCAGGTGGATCACTCGAGGTCAGGAGTTCCACACCAGCCTGGCAAACATGGTGAAACCCCATCTCTACCAAAAATACAAAAATTAGCCAGGCATGGTAGTGCATGCCTGTAGTCTCAGCTACTTGGGAGGCTAAGGCAGGAGAATCATTTGAACCAGGGAGGCGGAGGGTGCAGTGAGCCAAGATCACGCCACTGTACTCCAGCCTGGGTGACAGCGCTAGTCTCTGTCTCAAAAAAATAAATTAATTAAAATTAAAATTAAAAAGCAATTTGGCTTGATGCCTGGCCAAAGTCAGCTGAGGCACAAGCTACTTCATGAGGCCTGGGGTCCGGCTTTTGTTCCTTCAGTTCGTGACCTCTGGCAAACCTCTGACCAGCAGCTTCCCTTTCCTCACTTACAAAATGACGGGTGCTGCAGTAGAGCCAAAACCCCACCCAACCTGAGTCTGCTAACGATGGGATGAGGGCTTAAACCTATGTTGAAAACCTCCATGAGAGCCTAATGAAATGAGGCAGGACAAAGCAGCAAAGCTGGAGCTTCCTGGGAATCTCTGGAGACCTGACTGGTCGGGCTGAGGACAGCTTTCGGCTGCACTGCTGACAAACCTGCAAGGAAGTTTCCGATCTCAAATGTCCACCGCTCAGTGCACACCATGAACATACTGGAAATAACCAGGCAGATGTAGGAGCTCCACTCCTGGAAGCACTCCCTTGTCCAACCTAGGGAACAGGAAAGAAAACGCGTTTGCTTTTCAACAGTCTCTGGCACCAACAATTCTGTTTCACATACCCATACCCCGCAAATGGCCAGAGACTAGGTGCAACCTCAGTTCTCCAGCAAAGTATAAAGATGCCAAACGGGTTGAGATGGCAGGCCCTAAGCTGGCAAGACTCAGGAGATGCCCTTTCACCCACACATTCTACTCCTGGGTATGAATGGCAGAGGGATTTTTGTAGACCTCTGTAAAAAGACATGTAGAAAGCCAGGCGCGGTGGCTCATGCCTGTAATCCCAGCACTTTGGGAGGCCAAGGTGGGTGGATCACGAGGTCAGGAGTTCAAGACCAGCCTGGCCAACATGGTGAAACCCCGTCTATACTAAAGATACAAAAAATTAGCCGGGTGTGGTGGCACATGCCTGTAAATCCCAGCTACTCAGGAGGCTGAGGCAGGAGAATCGCTTGAACTCGGGAGGCGGAGGTTTCAGTGAGCTGAGATCGCACCACTGCATTCCAGCCTGGGCAACAGGGTGAAACTCCTCTCAAAAAAAAAAAAAAAAAGACATGTAAAATATTCACTGTGGCAGACGTTAGTTGAGGGGTGTGGGAGACAACACGGAACTAGAGGAGTAAAATACGATGTACATTATGGCTCAAGCCTGTAATCCCAGCACTTTGGGAGGCCGAGACAGGCGGATCACGAGGTCAGGAGATGGAGACCATCCTGGCTAACACAGTGAAACCCCGTCTCTACTAAAAAAAAAAAAATACAAAAAAAAAAAAAAAAAGCAAAATTAATGTATATATAGCAATGTGGATATTTAAAATACATAGTGCTCACAGGCAACAAAAGTAAACATAGATAAATTGGACTACATCAAAATAAAAAACTTGTGTGTATCAAAGGACACAATCAGCAGAGTGAAAGGGCAACCCATGGAATGGGAGAAAATATTTGCAAATCATATAAGGACATCTGGATATCATAATGTCCAGAATACATAAAAAAATTTCTATGGCCAGGCGCAGTGGCTCACGCCTGTAATCCCAGCACTTTGGGAGGCCAAGGCGGGTGAATCACCTGAAGTCAGGAGTTCAAGACCAGCTTGGCCAACATGGTGAAGCCCTGTCTCTACTAAAAATACAAAAAATTAGCCAGGCATGGTAGTGGGCGCCTGTGATCCCAGCTACTCAGGAGGCTGAGGCAGGAGAATCGCCTGAATATGGGAGGTGGAGGTTGCAGTGAACCGAAATCGCACTACTGCACTCCAGCCTGGGCAACAGAGCGGGACTCCATCTCAAAACAAAAACAACAACAACATCAGCAACAAAATTCCTACACTCAACAACAAAAAAAGAAGTAACCTGGTTTAAGAAAGGGAGGGCAACAGACTTGAAGAGACATTTCTCCAAAGATGATATATAAATGGTCAACAAATATATGAAAAAATGCTCAACATCAGTAATCTGAAGGAAATGCAAATGAAAACCAAAGTGAGACATCACATCATACCCATTAGGATGGCCACTATCAAAAAACCCAGAAAATAACAACTGTTGGTGAGGATGTAGAGCACTAGACCCCTTGTGCACCGTTGGTGGGAATGGTGCAGCTGATGTGGAAAAACAGTATGATAATTCCTCAAAAAATTAAAAATAGAATCCCCATATGATCCAGTAATTCCACTTCTGAGTATATGCTCCAAAGAATCAAAAGAAAGGTCTTGAAGAGATATTTGAACACCCATGTTCAAAGCAGTACTATTCACAAAAGCCAAAAGGTTGGGAGCAACCCTTGTGTCTATCAGTGCATGAATGGATAAAACAAAGGTGGTGTATACATACAATGGAATACGATTCAGCCTTAAAAAGGAAGGGAATTCTGAAATGTGTTAAACAGGGATGAATCTTGAGGACATTATGCTGAGTGGGTGGGTAACAAAACGACAAATACTGTATGACCTTCAATTATATGATGAATCAAGAATAGTTACACTCATAAGAACAAAAAGTAAAATGGTGGCTGCCAGGGGTTCAGGGGCAGGGAGGAATGGGGAGTTGTATAATGAGCACATAGTTTCAGGTTTGCAAACTGCAAAAGTTCTAGAGATGGGAGGTGGTGATGGCTTTACAACAATGTGAATGGACTTCATGCCACCGACTATACACATAAGAATGGTTAAAATGATAAATTTTGTGTTATGCATATTTTACCCCAATTAGAAAAAATACAAAAAGAAAACAATGTGCAAAGTCAGGGGTTAACAAACTTTTTCTGTAAAGGGCCAGATGGCAAATATTTTCTACTTTGCAGGCCAAATGGTCTCTGTGGCAACCACTCAACTTTGCTCTAGCAGCCTAAGAACAGCCATGGGCAACATGTAAGTGATTACACATGGCTGTGTTTCAGTAAAACTTTATTTAAGAAAAACAGGCTGCAAGTTCATGGGTTTGCCAACATCTGTGCTAAGTGAAAAGGTTTACAAAAAAAGAAAGAAGTCTAGCCAAGTGTGGTGGCTCACGCCTGTAATCCCAGTACTTTGGGAGGCTGAGGCGGACAGATCACTTGAGGCCAGGAGTTCAAGACCAGCCTGGCCGCCATGGGGAAACCCCATCTGTACTAAAAATACAAAAATTAGCCAGACATGGTAGTGGACGCCTGTAATCCCAGCTACTCTGGAGGCTGAGGCAGGAGAATCACTTGAACTTGGGAGGCGGAGGTGGCATTGAACTGAGATCACGCCACCACACTCCATCCTGGGCAACAGAGCGAGAATCTAAAGAAAAGAAGAGAAGAGGAGGGGAAAGGAGGGGAGGGGAGGGAAAAGAAGTCTAAACTATAACACTATATTAGGTAAATATAAACATATATATACAGACAAAAAAAACATATTTTTGAAAGATACATATTAAAAGATATATGTCACTGGCTGGGCACAGTGGCTCATGCCTATAATCCCAGCACTTTGGGAGGCTTAGGCAGGAGGATCAGTCGAGGCCAGGAGTTCAAGACCAGCTGGGGCAACATAGTGAAACCCTGTCTCTACTAAAAATAGAAAAATGATCCTGGTGTGGTGGTGCACACCTGTAGTCCTAGCTACTCAGGCAGCTGAGGTGGGAGAATCACCTGAGCCTGGGATATGGAGAGTTCAGTGAAGCAAGATTGTGCCACTGCACTCCAGCCTGGGCCACAGAGCGAGACCCTGTCTCAAAAAAATGTGCGTGTGTATGTGTGTGTGTGTGTGTGTGTGTGTGTGTATGTATGTGTATGTGTATATATATATAAATATATATATATAAAAACACAGAGTACCTTGAGGGAGGAGAATGGGAACTTTGAAATGAAGGTAGAAATACCCTAAAATGGTAAAATGGCGCAGGGATAATGGAAGGAATGATGACATCAGCATGCCATGAATGTGAGTATGAGAAATTCAGTGCTTTGCATCTGAGGTTCAGGACTGGAGGGGGAGGGGGAGAAGGGAGGAGTCAGGCATTGAAAAACACCGAGAATTTCTGCAACATAAAAGCAAAGAAGGCACCAAGAGCCAATCGGCAACTTACCTTATTGGGAAGCAATATGGTCTGCTCTAGGAAAGAAGAAGAGCCGGCCCTCACCCCATAACTGCAGACTTGGAAGTGAAGGTTTGAGGGAAGAACAACATGAAGAACAATAGAGAATGAGCTACATGCACTGTGATGGCTACGAATGGTGAGAAGATGAGAGCGAGGGAAAGCATAGGTCCCAGTGAGCAGGGACTTAGGAGCCAGGAGAGCGGTGTCCCCCATCCTTGTGTAAACGAGGACCAGAAAACCTGCCTGCCAGCCTGCAGTCATGGCACAAGCGCGCTGCCTATCCCAAGCCACTAGCAAAAGGGTCACTGTGCACAGGACAGAGGCCTGAAGCCAGAGCACAGTCACAGTGAGGAAACCCTGAACTAAGACACTGGTTCTAGAGCAAGGATATTTCACAAGACCTGAGCAGATACAACCCTAAAAAAACGGACAGGGCACACATGCGACACACAGGAACACAACCCCCTCGAAAGAGAAGGGCACAGACAAAGCCATAAGGAAGTCAGTCAAAACTACAGTCTCAGGTGGCAGACATCCATCTGACACTGCTGAGTAAACTCGAATACTGTATTTCATCATGTCAATGAGGTCATTATGTGCCGAAAAGAGTTTGACAATTAAACTGTGACATAAGATCTTAAGACATCAATTGAAAGATGAATTCCAATTTTAAAGACATTAAAATGGAAAAATTACGAGTCTTAGAATCAACAAATACAGGTATAGATATGTTCCATGACTCAAGACATAAACAGATATTGAATCTGATACCAGGAAAGAAACTTCACAAAACCAGCACACAAAAGATTTCATACCCAGTGAGGTAGGAATAATAGGATAATCTGAAAAAAAATGTTTAAATAAGCATTCTTAAAATGTTCAAAGGCAGGAGGTTTTGAAATAAGAATCAACTGATATGAAAAAGAACCAAGGGGCTGGGCATGGTGTCTCAGGCCTGTAATCCCAACACTTTGGAAGGCTGAGGCTGGTAGATTGCCTGAGGTCAGGAGTTCAAGATCAGCCTAGGCAACATGGCAAGACCCCATCTCTACAAAAAAAATACAAAAATTAGCTGGGTGTGGTGGCACACACTTGTAGTCCCAGCTACTTGGGAGGCTGAGGTGGGAGGATCGCTTGAGCCTGGGAGGTGGAGGTTGCAGTGAGCCAAGATCACACCACTGTACTCCAGCCTGGGCAACAGAGTGAGGCCCTGTCTCAAAATAAGAGAGAGAGAAAAGAACTGAGTAAAATCTTAGACCAAAAAATATAATTATTCAAATTATAAACTGTTTTAAATATAAATAAAAGTGTTGGGATTGCAGATGTGAGCCACCACACTGGGCTTCATTTAGATTTCTATACCCAGCAATATTCAAGAGAAACATTCAAGAGAGCAGGCTGGGAGCAGTGGCTCACACCTGTAATC